CTACCCATGCCTCGCCTATCCTTGGGACCCACCGACCGAACTTAACAAGAACAATTTGGCTTTCATATAACGCAGCAAGGGTTAGACAAAATATTACAAGGGATGGAAAAAGAATGATTAATAAAATTTTCCTATTTTCCAAACCTAACCAAAAGCATACTTTATTTCCATTGGAACTTGTCCCAGATATATCTTTAGATCTTATTTTCAGGAATGTCTTTGCTTATTTTTCTTTCTCTCCCTCCCCTTATTTTTCTATCTTGTTAATTCACTCATTTTAAAGTAGAATAATTGCCGTACCTTGTCTATGTCCCAGAGAACCAATCGGCTTCTCTGTTTGGCAAATTCAAAGGCTATGAGTCTTCCAATGCCGCTTGCAGCTCCAGTGATAAGGACAATTTCACCAGCCACAGATTTTCTCTTCACAGGAATAAAACATTTCACCAAAGCTTCAAAATAGCAATAGGTTGCAAAGACTGCAAACCAGAGGAAATCTAATATGGGATGCATTCTTGCTTTCTTCTACAAATGTGATTTCACAGACTGTTGGGAGGACTTTTATTGCACTTGCTAACTAGAGTTCTTGCAAAACTCCATCCTCTGCAAGTGTTCTTACAAAATGAAGTAGGAGAGTAAATACACCTGCTCTTTGAAGTTTATAATCACTTTAATAATCAAATTACTGAAAATACAACTACACTCAGGGAACATATTTCCACATGTGGTGGACTTGTCCATGTGCACAGAAGTTTTGGCAAAAAATTAGAACTTGGACATTAGAAACAACGAAAGAAGAACTAAAACTTGAACCTGAAATCTTTTTATTAGGCATGATAGAATCAAACTTGAAAAAGAAATATCAGTACTTGATTTTGCATATCATAACTGCAGCCAGAATAAGCTTTGCCCAAAACTGGAAATTGGCTACAACCCTCTCAGAAAATATAATAATCAATAAAATACATGAGTGCACTGAGATGGTTTGCCGGCAAATTAGTAATACAATTCATACAACTAGTTCAGATCATAACGTGTTCCCTTCATTAAGGAGCACATTACACCTATATAGAGTTGGTCCAAGAGTGAGATGAACAATCTCTAAATTTGATAAATGAATGAAATAAATATTGCAGACTCCCCAATTTAGCTCCAAATACAAAATGTTCTCTTGAGTTTTATTACTCAGCCTGGCAATGAAGCACGTTCAGAAAAACAACCAAGTTCAGAGAATGCCAAAAAAAAAAAAAACCCTCAACCATTTCTAAATAATCAAGCTCAATCTCTTTTATCATACTCAGCAGTATGAATAACCCATGTCTTTCGCCACTCAAATAATTGTGTAAGTCCCTGGATAATTATTTTTCACAGAAGTAACTATGTAAGTAAGGCTGTAGTAACTGTGGCTTATTGCGTCAAATCATAATTGTTTTATAAAACTTGCAACCCAAATCAAACAAATCATGTTCTAGTTTAGCAAAGAGTATGGCCCCACCCTGGTTATCAGCTACTGTCTTCTTCTCATTCCAAACTGATGAATCAAAACCTTATTCATTACTATCTAGGCAATATAAAGTCTGTATCTTCCCTCCTAGCTGATAAAAGCTTAGCTTCAAGGTGTGCAAACTTTGCAAGTCTTTGGAACCTGAGAGTCAGATAAATAAATATGATAAATGCCGAGAAGGAGGTAAAGGAGGTGTTGTGGTTCGCCAGCAGCCTGTGCAGACGGCAGCAGAATCGGACAATGGGGAAGAACGGGGATCAGTCCGGGAGTCGGAGGAGGGTCCTGTATCCGATGCAGAGATGGGCCAGGATCATCTGGGTGTGGGGTGCTGCCTCCAGAGCTTGTGCACAGAGTTGCTAGAAGGCGAGAGCAGCTGAAACAAAAAGGGCGAGTGGGAGTAAGGCTGGGAGGTGATTGCCCCTCCCAAAAGGTATAAAGGACAGGCAAAGATGATAAAACCTTTGCAGGAAGCAAAGTCATTTGTTCAGTTCAGATTCATTCTTGAAGCTCTTTGTAATTCAATTGGTTTTTTTTTCTAGTTCATTTGAAATTTCTGTTATTGGCAGCACTTCACAGAAAAGAAAGGTGGCTGCTTGTCTTGAGGGACTATTTGAGATTAATTCCAGCTTGGGAATGAAAACAATTCCCAGCATTGCAATAAAGTAAGTCTTTTTTTTTTTTAAATAAGCGTGAGCGTAATTATAGTCTAGGAAACTTTGGTCAGAACAGGAGGCCTTTAATTTACGGGAGAAGAGGCTATTCAAATCAGAGGTGAAATCCATGAGGAGGAGGCGTTTGACAGAAATTCTACCTTAATTAACCTCCTGGGAATGTACTCTTAAAAGATTTCAAGATTTTTGTTTTTACACCCTCAGGTTACCTATATTTATCTGAAATGGGTGATTCTCATATCTTTGGTTTGCCAGTTAAGCAGGCAGGATTCATATTATAATACGGAAGATTCTTCAAATGTATATAAAGATAAAACCTGAAACCCAAACATGCATTTTCCAAAAAGCAACTGGACTTTATTGAGGGTTTTTTTTTTCTTTGGACTGAACTAGAGAAGCTTTTTGGATGAGAAGGAAAACATTTTCAGAGAAAAAAACACCCAAGAAAGTCCAGTGGCCTTTTGGAAAATGCACCTTTGGGACAACTATGAACTGGATGAATCTCCATACAGACATAAAACTGAAGAGTTTTCTTTTAGGCTTAATGGACAAAGAGTGATCAGCAGAAAAAAAGAGAAGGGGCTGCCCAAATACTAACTGGCTGGACACTATAAAAGATGACATTGGGATGAAAATGGTGGATCTGAAGGAGGTGGTGGAAGACAGAGAGGCATGGAGATCCATAGAGTGTCCACAACTGAATGGCTGACGATAACGGACAAAGAACTTGGGGGGTGGGAAATGGAACTTTGAAGCTATGTATGCTAACAGCAGCAAGAATACTCTACATACACAAAAAATGGAAGGATACTTTAATTCCCACAATGGATCCAAAACCTGGTGGTGTTAGCAGAAAAGGCTACATTGACTGCTTTAATTTTTTTTTTATAAAAAAAGAATACAACTTACTGATGGACTTTGTGTTTGAGGTAGAAAAAAAAACTTCTCCTTTTGTCCTATACTTCCTCCTCTTCCCTTCCTTACTTTCCCGTTATTTTCATTTTCCTTTGTATTTTGATAAACTGATCAAATTTGACAAATCATCAGATTTTTTTTAAAAAAAGTGTTAAGTGACTGGTGTTACTTTCCCATTGTCAGAGGATGCTTGGTAGAAGGGGAAATGAAGCCACGGGGATTCAACAATCACTTTCTTTAACTGGGTTAGAAGTTGGACATAGGCATGTAAGAACTGCATCTCAGTATTGTGACAGGGACAGGCAATGGGTGGGGAGGGAATCCAATTGACGTTGACAAGACTTTTTTGGCAACTCAGGGAACAGGGAGTGGTAATTAACCCAGCCTGATCCCTGAGCAAGCTTAATGCTGTCCTACATAGTGATTGTTGCTTTTTAATGCGTTTGGCTGTATAGATTTGCTTGTATGTTTGAGTTGTAATACTCTGCATAATTGCACAGAAGCTAAGTTTAGTTGAATCTTTGCAAGTTCATTATCATCATTACCAGAGTTGGAAGGGTCCTTGGTGGTCTTCTTGTCCAGCTCTCTCCAGTCAAGTAGAAGACCCTACACCATTTCAGACAAATGAATGTCCAGTCTCTTCTTAAAAGGCTTCAGTGATGGAGCAGTTCTGAACTCTTCAGTTCTAGCTTGCTTCTCTCTTTAATTAGTTTCCATCCATTGCTTCTTGCCCTGCCTTCAGGCGCTTTGCAGAATAGGTTGACCGCTGGATTTCCTGTCTTTCCCCCACTCCCATCTCTGCCTCCAGACTTCTTACCAGTATCTTCCAATATTTGAGGGGCTGCCACAGGGAGGAAGGGGTCAAGCTATTTTCTAAAGCGCCTGTAAGCCAGACTGTGGAGTTGTAATTGCAGGAATGTTCCAATCTCAGATGGCAAACCTCAGATAAAGAATGTTTCCAAGCAAATACAACTCAGGCAAACTAAGTCACTAATCTATGGATAAAGGAGGATTAGAGAGGGGAAGTAAACATATGTTAGACTTTAATTAGAGATAATTAATTGTATGGATTACTGTACTAAACAGTAACGAAAGTTAAGCAGTAACCAAAATTAACCAATGATGGAGGATAACTAAAAATGTATATAAATGCAAGACTATACTCCAATAAAGATCATCATAATTCAGTTGTTCATGATCAAACAACTCGACTGCCTCATCATTACAACACCAGACAAGGAATAATGGATGGAAACTGAACAAGGAGAGATTTAACCTGGAAATAAGGAGAAACTTTCTGACAGTGAGAACAATCAACCAATGGAACAGAAGTTGCCCTCGGAAGTTGTGGGAGTGCCATCACTTGAGACTTTCAAGAAGAGATTGGACTGCCATTTGTCAGAAATGGTGTAGGGTCTCCCGCTTGGGCGGGAGGTTGGACTAGATGACCTACAAGGTGTCTTCCAACTCTGATTATCTGTTATATGTTATCAGTATCTATGTTACACCAAGGGGCTGGTGGGCCACACCCATCTTGGTCTTGCCTCATCACAATCTCCCAGATCTAGTTTCATATATATGCAGGGCTATTAATCTATCTCTTCTTTGCAATTCCAGTGAACCAGAAACAAAACGATAAAGTATCGTCTCGTGAAATTGCAAGTACTTGTTCTGGCATCATTAACTGGGGCAGAAGAAAATAAAGCCTCTAGCTCAGGAGTTTCAAACTCAAGGCCCGCAAGCTGGATATGGCTCACAGGGTGCTTAGATGTGGCCCATGGGGCCACCCTGGAAACAGTGAAGAACCAGCCCGCAGGGCCTCTGCCAGTAAAAATGGAGCTCGGAAGGGCCACGCATGGACCTCCCAGGCTCCATTTTTGGCCAAGACATCCTCCTGCCACCCTCTGCCAGCAAACATGGAGATCAGAGGGGTCACGTGCACCCTCCGAGCTCCATTTTTGCTGGCAGAGGGTGGCAGGAGGACGTCACAGGGAGAAACGGAGCTCATGAGCCCGTTTTCTCTGGCAGATTGCTTGGGCCACCACAGATGCCCCCAACATGAGTAACATCAAGCTGGCTATACCCATCCTGGCCATGCACCCCACCTCCATGAGGTCAAACACAATCCTGATGCGGCCCTCAATGAAATCGGGTTTGACACCCTTGCTCTAGCCCTACAAGGACTTCCATATAGAACGGGCAATTAATTTTCCCAAGGTGTCTTATGAGAAACAGGGACTGTTGTGGAGGGCCGAATCAATTTGCACTCAGGATGGACAGGGACAGACAGGTGTCTTAAACTTCCCAGATATGGTGCGGAAGCTATGTATACTTAATGGAAACTCACATTCTTCCTAAAGTTGATCCACATGCAGCTAGATAGTTTTCTTACATAAGAATTTTCCTAACTACTAATTTCCTAAATAGGTAATTCACTGCTCTTTTTGGCTAGGTATATAATTTAGTTTATCATTTAA